GTACATCCGGGCAGCTAGGAGACTGAATCCTCGCCAGGCCCGCTGGACTATGTTTCTAGCCCGGTTTGTGTTTAAGATCACATACATCCCTGGGTCCCAGAACGGGAAGGCAGATGCTCTGTCTCGGCGGTATGACGCGGAGGAGAGGTCCGTTGAGCCCACGCCCATACTACCAGAGTCTTGTCTGGTTGCACCGGTGGTGTGGGAGGTTGATGGCGAGATCGAGCGGGCGTTACGCACCGACCCGAGTCCTCCACAGTGTCCAGTGGGTCGGACGTACGTTCCGCTCGAGGTACGCGATCGCCTCATTTGTTGGGCTCATACGTCCCCCTCCTCTGGCCATCCGGGTATCGGCCGGACAGTGCACTGCCTTAGCACGAAGTACTGGTGGCCAACGTTAGCTAGGGATGTGAGGATTTATGTCTCCTCCTGTTCGGTGTGTGCCCAGTGTAAGGCGCCCAGACATTTGCCCAGGGGTAAGTTACAACCCCTGCCTATTCCACAACGACCCTGGTCCCACCTCTCGGTGGATTTTGTTACCGACCTTCCCCCCTCACAGGGGAATACTACCATCCTGGTCGTTGTGGATCGGTTCTCGAAGGCCTGTCGTCTCCTTCCCATGCCGGGTCTACCCACTGCCCTACAGACCGCAGAGGCTCTGTTCACCCATGTCTTCCGGCATTACGGGGTACCCGAGGATATAGTGTCTGACCGAGGCCCCCAGTTCACCTCCAGAGTGTGGAGAGCATTTATGGAACGGTTGGGGGTTTCGGTAAGCCTTACCTCGGGTTACCACCCGGAGAGTAATGGGCAGGTTGAACGTGTGAACCAGGATGTGGGTAGGTTTCTGAGGTCATACTGTCAGGGCCGGCCGGAGGAGTGGGCGAGATATGTGCCCTGGGCCGAGATGGCACAGAACTCTCTTCGCCACTCCTCCACCCAACTAACCCCTTTTCAGTGTGTATTAGGGTACCAGCCGGTTCTGGCACCATGGCATGAGAGCCAGATCGAGGCCCCCGCTGTGGATGAGTGGGTGCGGCGCTCGGAGGAGACGTGGGACGCTGCACACGTCCATCTGCAGCGTGCCATACGTCGACAGAAGACGAGCGCCGACCTACACCGCAGTGAGGGGCCAGTGTACGCACCTGGAGATCGAGTCTGGCTCTCAACCAGAAACCTGCCCCTCCGCCTGCCCTGCCGGAAGCTGGGTCGGCGGTTTGTGGGGCCCTTTAAAGTCCTGAGGAGATTGAACGAGGTGAGTTACAGGTTAGAACTACCTATTGATTACAAGAATATTAACCCCTCGTTCCATGTGTCTCTCCTCAGGCCGGTGGTAGCTGGTCCACTCCAGGACTTTGAGATTGAGGAGACTCCTCCACCCCCGTTGGACATCGAGGGGGCTCCGGCGTACACCGTGAGGTCCATCCTTGATTCGAGACGCCGGATGGGGGGTCTTCAATATCTCGTGGAGTGGGAGGGGTACGGTCCGGAGGAGCGGTGCTGGGTGCCAAGGAGGGACATATTGGACCAGTCCCTGCTGACCGAGTTCCATCGGGGTCATCCTGCGCGCCCTGCTCCGCGTCGTCCGGGTCGTCCCCGAGCCCCGGGTCGGCGCACGGCTGGAGCCGCGCGTCAAGGGGGGGGTACTGTCACGGTTTCGGCCGAGGCTGCTCCTCTTCCTTGTTCGGGCAGGCTTCGGCGGTCGTCGTCTCCGGAGTACTAGCTGCCACCGTTCTATGTTTCTTGTTCGTTTGGTTTTGTCTCTTTGTAACACCTGTCCCTTGTTTGTGTTTGATGATGTTCCCTATTTAGTTTCGTTTGTTTGGGTCAGGTGTTATGCGTGATTGTTTATTGTCAGACTGCCTCTGTATGGTTACATTTCTCTCGTTGTTGCTTGTCCCGAGAGTTCGCACTGCGTGCGCTTTTCTTGTGTATTTCGCACTGTGTTTGTGCGTAATTGTTTTGCGCCACCCGGTTGGGTTGGCGACTATTTTGTTCACGTGTTTGAACGTTACTAAAAAGACGGTTGAAGTCATCCTGGTTCCTGCGCTTGATTCCTTCCACTCATCTACACACACCACTCTGACAGAGAAACACAACAGAAAACATCAAGTAAAGACGTAAGTAAGATGAAAAATGTAGGCATACCTGTTTTTTATGTTTTCTTTAGCTAGATTTGTCTGGGCTCACTTTTGTAAATGAAGATGGGAATCATCACCACAAGAATGAAAACAATCAAACACACATGCTCAGAACTGGTACTGAATAATATTCCCTTTAGAAGGGAGGAGGATGAACGTTTGAGAGGTAGGAGCTGTGTCATCATTTCGCTGAAGGTGAAACTTAAAACTCTCACACAAAACATTCACAGGTGAAACCTACATTTTCAGGTTTAGTGTTTTCAAACCATTCAAAATCTCACAAGACATGGACCAAAGACAAACATACATTTATTGTTGAAAATCCTTGTCCTATTTTTACAGTGTACATTTAATATGTAAATTGGCATGCAATGCTAAAGTGCAAGTCAGTGAACAATACTGTCTTCATCATAGATACAATTAAGGCATGTTACATTCTAGACCTGGGTTCAAATACTTTGAGCGTTTGCTTGAGTCTGCCAGGAGTGCCAGATGGGCGGGTTTTGCAATTTTGAGATTTACCTATTGGTTTATTAAGCCAGGCAAGCTCAAATAGGCACAGATAAAGAATTTGAAATGATTTTCAAGTATTTTAAACCCATGTCTGTTAGATTCATCTTCATTATGCTATTTAATCTAGATTTTAATCAACAGGATACATGCCATAAAAAACACACAAACAAAAAACAACCCAATCATCCTATCTACCAACCTATTAAGATTATATGTTAAAGGTGCAATATGCAGAAATCGCACCGCCATTTCCTGGTTACTAAAATTCTAATTTCAGTTAATGTGACAAAACAATCAATGTATAGTGTAGAGAATCATTATACAATCTTAAACACTGTGAAATATATTTTCAATAACTGAAAATATCATTTTTTCAGCTGTTTGAAGCTGGTGTGCAAAACTGAAAGTGAAAGATGCAAAAACTAAACTTAAGAATGGGAAGCATAGAAATAGCACACATAGAACAGATCTACTGCTTCTTAGACCTGCAATCAATGAGTGACAGACCTATAACTCAGATTTCTATGTGAATTTGGTCAGGCCACCCAAAAAGTTACATATTGCAGCTTTGAGGTAAGGGAGAGTGGGGTACGTTGAGCAAAAGGGTTAGTTGAGCCACCCCTTGTTTCTAGGAAAGCATACATAAAATGAATCAAGTGACCAAATATTTAGGAAGAGGTCATCATTTCATGGAGTCTGTGAAGGAAGAAACCACATGGAAAAAGTGGCAAGCAAGTTAGGTCCCAAAAAATGATTTTCACAAATTCAAATGCATTTATTGTTTTATAAGTTTCATGATGTTTGTATCTAAACCAAAGTAGATTATTTTACAATTGTTTTATACATCAGTTGGGGTCTAATAAATATGAGGCCCTAAACCTATCATGAAAGTGCATTCTTATAACTGTGTGGGCTAATATAGTCAAAATGTTTGCCTTGGGGTTAGTTGAGTCAATGGCCATGGGCTAAGTTGAGCCATTGGCCACCATACCCTATACAAATGATGATTACATGTTGTCAGTTTTATGCATAACATGCATAGTATTTTTGCAATGTGTCATGTGTTACAGGAGGGGGTCACAGTTCCGGAGTGACCCACTAGGTGTCGTCCTCCAAAAACCTTAGGCACCTCCTCACTCACAGTCTGGACTAATCATTATCTTATTGGTGTCACCTGTGTCTACCTGTTCACCTGTGTATTTATGCCCTCACTTCCCTGTTTTCCCTTGCTCTGTTTTCTCTGCTAGTTCTCGATGCCAAACAGTACTAATCAGTGTCTGATCGTGAGACGTATGTACAGGTACTTGAGAAGTGTTCTCCCTGTTTCATTATTGTTTTCAGTCATAGTTAGTATTTCGTATGTTTGCTGTCAGCCTGTTTTTGGAGACCAATTTGCTCCTCCTTTATTTTTTTCGGGACAAGTCCGTTATTTTGTATCCTGGTTTTGGGACCACCAGTAAAGATCCTTGTTTCACCATCTCTGCCTACTGTCTATCCTGCACTGCACCTGGGTCACACCTCACACCAACCCTTACAGTAATGCACATGAACTCAAGATAGTACATTTCTATTGTTATAGAGCAGACATCATCATGTCCCGTGTACACAAACGTAAAACAAGCAAGGGTCTAGCCCCCATGAGGTTCTTGAGAGAGCAGCAAGGGAAGTGAGAGAAGGGAAGAAGTCCATTCGAGCATCAGCAAGGGATGAAAAAATTGATTGAATCACAAAAAATAAAACAAACATTTAGCTGTGCAAAAGAGAGGCTATGATAGAGTAGCAGAGGCACATACTGTATGGTCTTATCTGATGACATGGAGTCTGAGCTTGCTAAACATATCAATAATCTTTCGGACCAGTTTCATGGGCTTAGTAGCCTCAAATGCAGAGAACTAGCCTACGAAGTGGCACATCGAAACAACATCCCTTTCCCAGACAACTGGTCAAGAAATAGAAAGTTATGGGATATTGAACAGAGAGATCTGTATGTGAATGTAGACATATTTGAGATATACAATATACCCATTGCATGAATTAAACTTTGACCTAACAGCACCGTCAACCACTGTCACAGGACACCACTACCCACTTACCCCAAGGCGGCTCAACTTACCCTGTCCCTATGCTCAACTTACCCCATACCCGGTGTAAGTTGTGCCAAGAGACCACATTATTTTGGAAAGGCTATGTTTTCAAAACTGTTATGTTTACACGAATTCTGATTATTTTCAGGGAGACACCACATCCTGAAATATATGTGGATATCTTTGTTAGAAAGAAAACTATATTTCCCTTGACGTAGTGATGCTGAATGTAAAAAATTGTTAAACATACCCTACTCTCCCCTATTTTCTACACACAGAATTGTAGTCTTTCAGAGTTGTCGTCAGAGTTGTAGTCTTTCTCAACAGGGTTTAACTGACCAGGGGCCTAGGGGGGCTGGACACCACTATAATAAATCAGCTTGTTATCACCATAACAAATATCAATATCAAGGCACTTTAAGCCACCGCTAAGAGTCAGTTTATGATTTTTACATTTGTCAAGGTATTTTCTGCAGACAGAATTGTAGTATTTCAGAGTTGTTGTCAGTGTGTTTCTCAGCATTGCTTGATCAAACTCTTTTCATTGATCGGACAGATCACAATGGCATCTGACTGTTTATCACAACAGTACAGATAAAAGAACGGAAACAACTTATCCTTAAAGTTGTCCTCCATGAACGTATAGATATGATTCCTCTCCTTCACGTCGTAAAACGAAACCTGGCCCTCTTCGCAATCCACATACACCCCAACCCTCTTTGGCTTGGGGTCAAGGGTCAGAGATAACGGCGGGGTCGTGGAGGCCCTATACCTCTGGCCTTTCTTCATGGCCAGCGCCCAGTAGCCCTGGGAAGAGCTGATGGCGATACGCCCCTTCCTGTTGACTGATGCCTTGGCCACGCCTAGGTACCAGTCATCCTTGTCCCCCACCTGGACCTAGATAGATAGATAGATAGATAGATAGATAGATAGATAGATAGATAGATAGATAGATAGATAGATAGATAGATAGATAGATAGATAGATAGATAGATAGATAGATAGATAGATAGATAGATAGATAGATAGATAGATAGATAGATAGATAGATAGATGGAAAGACGAACAGTTTTGGATGTTGTTTTGTTTTTGAAAGCTAGGCTACGGTACATAATCGCAATCAACAAACCTCCCAGTAGTGGCGTCCCGTGGTGAAGCCCTCGCGACCCAGGACAATGACCACCGTGTCGAAACGCTCTGGGATGTCCGGGAGGTCCTGCCAAGCCCCCAGGTGCCTCACTTGACGGCGGTCCTCCGAGAGCTGGAGCCACGGGTTGGCTGTGTCTGGGTCAAGGGTCAGGTCCGCTGGAAACAGGGAGGGAGGAGAAATGTGTTAGAGATGTTTCAATTGTAAGAGTACTAACAGAGAAATTAATGAATAAACTTGTGGGCAATTTTACCAGCTATCGATAGTTCAAGTGTGAAATGGAGGATGTGAACATATTAATATATCTACTGCTGTACATATTGTTAGTTGTTAGTATATATTTTTGGTGTATATAAATATAGATTGCATTTGGATTACTGATACAGTGTTATTTGGGTTGTTAACTGAATTCATCCTGACATTTGTGATTTCTTGTTTCTAGTTTTGATTATTATTTGTGTACTTGTTTGACATTTTTACTGCACTGTTAGGAGCTAGTAACACAAGCATTTCGCTGCACCTGCTAAAACATCTGCTAAACTGTGTACGGGACCTATAAACTTTGATTTGATTTGATTTTGATTTGAATGCCTACCTGTGTATTTAAGAATCTTCTTCAGCTCTGTGAAAATGGACACAAACCACAATTCAATGATTTCGAAAACAAAACACATCACTTCTTGTTCAACAATTTGCAGAGACCAAGAGGTTTGGAAATACGGTAATAGTAAGAGAAACCACACATTTCGGTCCTTTATTGAAAAACCTACCAGTGTCCACCAGTTTGTCAATTTCCTCACTCATCGTCTCTTCCAATTTGGACATGGCTCTCCTGATGATCCCAACACACACTTCAGTATGTACATGGGTCCCAGACCAGTCCTTAGTGGCTGGAGGGGTACACAGGGCTGGGAAACTCTACAGCGAGAGATAGGAAAAACAATCAGTCAATTTAGTCAATCTATACGATATACACTGAGTGTTCAAAACATTAAGAACACATTTCTAATATTGAGTTGCACCCCCTTTTGCCCTCAGAATAGCCTCAATTCGTCGGGCATGGACGTTGAAAGCGTTCCATAGGGATGCTGGCCCATGTTGACTCCAATGCTTCCCACAGTTGTGTTAAGTTGGCTGGATGTCCTTTTGGTGGTGGACCATCCTTGATACACATGGAAAACTGTTGAGCGTGAAAAACCCCAGCAGCACTGCGGTTCTTGACACAAACCGTTTTACCTGGCACCTACTACCATACCCCGTTCAAAGGCACTTAAATATTTAGTCTTGCCTATTCACCCTCTGAATGGCACACATACACAATCCTTCTCTCAATTGTCTTAAGGATTAAAAATCCTTCTTTAACCTGTCTCCTCCCCTTCATTACCCTGACTGAAGTGGATTTAACAAGTGACATCAATAAGGTATCATAGCTTTCACCTGGACTCACCTGGTCAGTCTGTCATGGAAAAAGCAGGTGTTCCTAATGTTTTGTACAATCAGCATATTTGTGTGCTATATTTCTTATTTTGTGATAAAAATTTGGGACAAAGAAAATAATGACAAGACCGAACCAAATCTGTGTGCGATATTTCTAGACTACAATGTGTACATATTCTGCTACGTGTTATTAATGAAATCGGAAATCCCTCCCACCTGTAGGAAGTGGATGTGGTCCTCTGTGCGTGAGAGGTGCTCCAAGTCTGTATTCCTCCTCTGTAATTCAGTGATCTCCTGCTCCAGCTCCGCTATCAGGTCCTGGGACCACCTTGTATTAATAGGGAGACCAGACACCATAGTGTTAGCTCCAGGAACCTTTTTAGTAGGATAAAACCGGATACAAGGTACAGAGCATGATGGGTACTGTAGTACTTCCTCTACACACCTCTCTGTCTCTCTCTGCTTCTCCTCGATAGCCAGCACCAGCTCAGCCTGGGTCCTCTGGATGGACCGAATCAGCTCCTGGAACACCTGTATGCTGTCCTCGATCTCCCTCTGGGCACTGGACTAAAGGGGGAAAGAGATTGTCATTACTTAAAGCTGGTATCCTTAATAGTGAAACTGCCACGTCCGTTTGCGATATTACAACAACAAAGAAGTTACTGCAAACAACAAACACTGTTTTTTCTCTCGGACATCATTGCATGCACGATAGAAAAGCCGCATATGTAACGCTCCTCATCTGTGCTTGTCAACAAAACAAAAACAATAACAACGGCCTTGGGGCGGACAGTGGATCTGTTTCCCACTACTTTAAGGTAAAGAAGTATTACATTTTGGGGTATAATTTTGGGGTATACAGGAGATGGTCAACATTGAATAATATGGTAATAACAGTATTGGGCTCATAAGCCTATGCATATGCATAAACTCTAATATGCATATTAGTGTTTTGAATTAATCCCTGTCAATTTCCACAACAACCATGTTTTACACTGTTTCAACCTGCTGTTGAACTTCTTTCTTCAAATTGATCATCACAGTAAAGTGAGTTTTAAAAGTATGATAGGCCTACTGTTTTGATGATAAGTGTTGGATGTGATTTTCATATAGCATTTGCATTGATGTCAGAGTGGTTAGAGGGACAATAAGGCCCTGAGTACCAGGCCATTAGGATCTGATGGCCGTTAGCAAGTTGGGTACTATCAATGTCCAGAGTGCATAAGAGTAGATTACCGTGACAACGGACACATGGAAATTTACTGCGGTCAAGACTCATGACTGCCGGTGTGGTGGTAATATGGTCACCGCAACAGCCCTAATCAGAGCCCTATGCACCCTGGTCAAAACTAGTGCACTACATAGGGAATATGGTGCCATTTAGGATGCAAACTCTTTTGCCTTTATGGCTGATTAGTTCGCTTTGGATGTGCCAGGATGTTACGGGAGACCCATAACCCCTCCCACAAGGCAACCATTAGGTTGCCTAACTAGAATCAATTTAGATTTTGTTTTTCTACATCTCAATAAAGTTTGCAAGTGCTTCGAAGCAAAGATCAAATATATCCAGCAAAGATCAAATATATCCAAAATCCAACAGAAGCCATGTATTCTGGTCCCCACATTGGGCTAATGTCCAAAGCAAAATTATATTATAGAATCCAGCAGTTTATTTAGTCAATTACATCAGATGTTGACTATATGATAAAATATGTTGTGCAGTATAAATCCCAACTGTCAACATGACAAATTAGCATCTATTTTACCACTGGGTCAAAAAAGACTGTGTCCGAAATGGTACCCTATTCCCTATGTAGTGAACTATGTAGGGATTAGGGTACCATTTCGGACGCAGGCAAGAACTCACTTTATTCAGCTCCACTGAGTGCTTGATCTCCTCCCTCTTCTTCAGTCTTTCCTGGATCATCTGCTGTACATCTATCTCTGTCTTCTTCAGCTGAGCCTGTGGAGAACAGACACTTCCTTCAGAAAGTATTCACACCCCTTGACTTTTTCCACATTTTGTCGTGTTACAACCTGAATTAAAAATTGATTAAATTGAGATTTTGTGTCAATGGCTTATACACAATACCCCATAATGTCAAAGTGGAATTATGTTTTTAGATTTTTTAAACAAATTAATACTTTTTTAAAAGCTGAAATGTTTTGAGTCAATAAGTATTCAACCCCTTTGTTATGGCAAGCCTAAATAAGTTCAGGAGTAAAAATGTGCTTACCAAGTCACAGAATAAGTTGCATGGACTCTGTGTACAATAATAGTGTTTAACGTGATTTTTGAATGACTATCACATACAATTATCTGTAAGGTCGCTCTGTCGAGCAGTGAATTTCAAACAGAGATTCAACCAGAAATACCAGGGAGGTTTTCCAATGCCTCGCAAAGAAGGGCACCTATTGGTAGATGGGTACAAATAAAAAAAAGCAGATATTGAATATCCCTTCGAGCATGGTGAAGTTATTAATTACACGTTGGATGGTGTATCAATACACCCAGTCACTACAAAGATACAGGCATCCTTCCTAACTCAGTTGCCGGAAAGGAAGGAAACTGCTCAGGGATTTCACCATGAGGCCAATGGTGACTTTAAAACAGTTACAGAGTTTAATGGCTGTGAAAAGAAAACTGAGGAAATTGCAAAATATTTGGCAAAGAAATTAACTTTATCTCCTGACTACAAAGTGTTATGTTTGGGGAAAATCCAACACATCACATCATATTTTCAAGCATGGTGGTGGCTGCATCATGTTATGGGTATGCTTGTCATCGGCAAGGACTAGGGTTTTTTGGGGGATAAAAATAAATGGAATATAGCTAAGTACAGGCAAAATCCTAGAGGTAAACCTATTTCAGCCTGCTTTCCAACAGACACTGAGAGACAAATTGACCTTTCAGCAGGACAATAACCTAACACACAAGGCCAAATCTACACTTCAGTTGCTTACGAAGACGACATTGAATGTTCCTGAGTGGCATAGTTACAGTTTTGACTTAAATCGTCTTGAAAATCTATGGCAAGACTTGAAAATGGCTGTCTAGCAATGATCAACAACCAACTTGACAGAGCTTGAAGAAGAATAATGTTGCACAATCCAGGTGTGGAAAGCTGTTAGAGACTTACCCAGAAATACTCACATTTTAGTCATTTAGCAGACACTCTTATCCAGAGCAACTTACAGTTCAACTTACAGTACCCCCATGGGAATCAAACCAACTGAGCTACATCCCTGCCGGTGATTTCCTCCCCTACCCTGGACTAATTGTGCGCCACACCATGGGTCTCCCAGTCGGCTACAACAGAGCCTGGATTCGAACCAGGATCTCTAGTGGCACAGCTAGCACTGCGATGCAGTGCCTTAGACCACTGCGCCACTCGGGGGGCTAACAATCACTGCCAAAGGTGATTCTAACATTTATTGACTCAGTGGTGTGAATACTTATGTAAATGACATATTTCTGTATTTTGTTTTCAATACATTTGCAAAAATGTCTAAATACATGTTTTCACTTTGTCATTATGGGGTATTGTGTGTCGATGGGTGAGAAAAAACATCTATTGAATCCATTCTGAATTCAGGCTGTAACACAACAAAATGTGGAATAAGTCAAGGGGTGTGAATACTATCTGAAGGCACTGTAGGTGCGAGATCATTTATCTTACAGTAGGCAGTCTATAGCCTGGTCCCAGATCTTTTAATACAACATGTTGACAATGACAATGATTGACAAGGAAACATACCGGAATTCAGGCTAGGCAGCCTACTCTCTTTAAAAAAATCTAGGGCTAGGCCTCACAAACTGTAGCGTGTTATTGGTGGATTTATGTACCAAATACACTTGTCCTCTTCTAAAATGTACTTTTACAGCCTCAATGGCAATCATTGTGTCAGTTTTATTAGTAGCTGACCATAAATGTCTGCAATCATTTGGCCATAATGTGATAAAGTTCAAATGGACTATTTTTTTTTTTTTGCTGTATTTAGCTTCTGATCGCTGCATCAGGCCTGAACGGCACAATAGTTACTGTATGTCTTTGAAAATGATAAACCAATTGACAACTCATTCTCGATATACAATTTACACTCATTTTATCGCAAACAAAACTAACCTGGATGAATAAAGTTTCACCATATATAAAAAATGTCACATACACTGTAGCCTTTATACTGTAATAGCCTCTACAAATTATTCTCACCTTTTTATCAGTCCACTCCCTCTCTACAGGCACAGTAAAGTGAGCTCTGTGGTCCGTCTCCGTACACAGCACACACACACAGATATGGTCTTTCTTACAGAACAGCTCCAGGAGCCTCTCGTGCTTGGGACACATCCTCTCTTCCAGGTTAGCCACGGGTTCGATCAGCTTGTGTTTAGTGAAGCGGGTGTTGTGGTTCTTGATGTGTTCCTCGCAGTATGAGGTCAGACACACCAGGCAGGACTTTACGGCCTTCATCCGGTCGCCCATGCAGACATCACAAGACACCTCGCCCCATGGGCTGTGGGGTGGAGATGGAGGAGCATCGGCTGGAGGTTCCTCTGGCTCTCGCTCGGGCTTCTCTTCTGGTTTTCCCTCCATCGGTTTCTCTGGTTCCAGGCTCGTCGTTCGTTGCAGCTGTGGCAGCTGTAGCTTCTGCATCTCCTGCTTCAGTCTCAGCTCCTGGAGAAGTTTCTGCTGCTTTTGAACCAGTTCCTGTTGCTCTTTCTTCTTCATTTCCTGCTCCATCTTTTTCTGCTCCTCCATCTTCTTTTTCTGCTCCTCCATCTTCTTCTGCAACTCTCGTTCCTCTTTCAGCTCCTGCTGTTGGAGACACTCGGCGTTGCTAACCCTGATGTCCTTAAATTGCTCAGCGATCTCCCTCAGGACGGTATTGATGCTAATGTCGGGCCGCTTGAAGAAGGTCTTCTTGCACATGGGGCATTGGAACAGGGCGGTGGTCTTCCAGTAGTCTAGGATGCAGCAGCGGCAGAAGTTGTGTCCACAGGGGATGGAGACAGGATTGGTGAACACGTCCAGACAGATGGAGCAGTGGACCTGCTCCTCCGTCAGATTTCCATGATTTCCTGCAAGGTAAGCCATTACTGGCAGAGAAGACCGTGCACGGTCATACTTTACATTACAGTGTTTGCTAACACTATACATTGCAGTGTTCTGTAACACTTTATATTGCAGTGTTCGGTAACACTTTACATTAGGATCGTTGTCTGACCTGTCATATCTGACCTGTGAGATCCAGGCCACAAAGCTGGCGTTATATCAGATCAGGTTTATTTTAGTGTGGATGTGTTGTAATGTGGATGTGGATGTGTGGATGTGTTATAGTGTGGATGTGTGGATGTGTAATAGTGTTCCTACTTCTCTTTGGATGTTAATTGGATGTTAACTTCTATTGCCGCCAAAATATATTTCTGGAACCCTAACAACAGATTAAAACTTAGATATTAACTTCTATTGCTTCTAGAAGGTCATATTATAACCCTAACCACGTCTAGTTGTAGTCCTGGCCACTTCTGATCACGAGCCAAGTGAGAGCTGTTGAAGAGCATGTGGGCATTCTTTACTTAAATTATCCCCCATGCTAAATATACTAAGCAAGAATTGTTTGGGTTGGAAAGCAGGCTGTCAGCAAGTTAAAGCTATGTACACCCGCGGCCCGCCTGTTTTTTAATTTGAGCAGTGAGCATTTATGAACACATGGGCTGCTTTCCAAATTGAACCCTATACCCTATGGAGTGCACTACTTTTGACCAGGTCCCCTTGGGCTCATAGGGCTCTTGTCAAAAGTAGTGCACTATATAGGGAATAGGCTACCATTTGGGACTCCCACCATGGCTAGAAGGTTGGCTATTCATAGATGTAAAAGATTAGCATCTTTCCAAAAATATCAGTCTAGTCACTCTCCAGCTCTGCTTTCTTTCTCATAAACAACAAGTGTGTCCCATTAATCTCTCCTTTCTCCTGAAGTGTGCGCTTGTTCACTTCCCTTCATGGATTTGAATGAAAAAGAATGGTATATCAATACAACGCTTTTACATTAGTGAACAAGTGCACACTTCAGGAGGAAGGAGAGATTATTGGGACATAACCAAGAACATACGTTCTGTATCTTCTCAATCCATTTAATCCTCACATAATTCCATTTCCAAATGATTTGTTTTTATATTCTTCCTCCATCCCGCCCGCAGTACGAAATCAAGATATTTCAACAGCGTAGTACAAAAAATAGAAAGTTCAGATCAAGCTTTCGTTGAAGCCTCACTATATCAATGTTATTAATCTCTTTCCTATCTGTCCTGATCAAACTTAAACAGTAAAAAAACGATTATTGCATAAAGCAAACCTTGCGTGTATTTTTACTGACGCAGTTAAAAGGTAGAGAGAAAACATGCAAAGAGAGAGAGAGAAGACATGGGGACACTCACCAGAGAGAAGCAGCTGTTGCAGAAAGCCACTGTACAGAGTGACCGCTCTGGCCCAATACTGACACATGACACTGCTGCCACCAACACCCCCACTACCCCACAGCCACTAGGCCCTAAATTATGCCCCTCTCCCTTCCCCTCCTTACCCCAGTTACCAATTTACACTTTCACCGCTCTGCTCGAAGGAGAACAGCATTAGCTCTTTATCTGACACTGTGCTCGTTTTTCTGTCTTTGCTTAAAGTCCTAGATCTTATTAACATTTGTATACTATTTTTCACACACTCAACACAATAATGAACAATGAAACAGACACCACAAACACAGGCAATACCACACAATGTCCTATAACTAGGTCTCTCACTTTAGGTGTAAGTTACATACCTCCAAGTCTACTCTGAATTCCTCAGAACTTTAGCTGTAGTTATTTCAGTTCCTAGAACTTTAGTTGGATATCATGTCAGAGGTCATTTAGTTATTGATAGAAAATCTTTATTTGAAAGTGCTGATTGAAGAACAGAAGTAAGCACAATTTAATATCTGTGAATTTATAGAAGTACTGTAGTTATGTTTACAGCTTTCAATTGACTTCTAGACTTATAAAATGTCTAAGGAAAGACTTATAAAAAGTAAACACAGTGTTTATTTTTATTCAAAGAACCATCCCTTTAACATATCTAGCAATACCCAACCTAAAGTATGACCAGGGAAAACTCTGGGCCGTAGTTATTCAGTATATAGGCCATCACTTGGGTCCCAGAGTTTTTCCTGTTACGATCACACAGTGAGGAACAACTCAGGCCCTATTCAAGTGACTAAACTGTGATTGGTCAACCTCTGAGCAGAAGGGGCGTGTCATGTCATGGTTGTGTCCTAAATGCCCCCCTACATAGTGCACTACTTTTGACCGGAGCTCTATGGGCCCTGATCAAAAGGTAGTGCATGGGCCTCTGGTCAAAAGTAGTGCACTCCCTACATAGTGTCAAAAGTAGTGCACTATACATAGTGTCAAGAGTAGTGCACTCTTGGAATTGGGTGGCATTTGGGACGTAGCCCATGTCATGTCTCATCTCAGCTATGCTTCACAGCACTGATGATGAGCGGGGCCGCATTCTTTCCCTCCTGATTGAGACAGGGGCTAAAGATGGGGTACAAACTCTCATTAAAGGTATCCTCAAATGTGAAGAGGTGCGTGCGAGCCTTGACGTCATAGAACGACACCTGGCCGCCTTCGTAATCGAGGAAGATCCCGATCTTCTGGGGGTGAGAGGTCAGCTGTAGGGGCAGTCGAGTGGAAGCCAGAGCCTTGACCTCCCCACTTTTCAGCCACAGGCACCAGTACCTATGTGATGAAATGCGATGATATTATTATTCTTGCTAAATATTACATCCATATAATTATTGGAGCTGATCACTATATATTTCAATATTTTTAGGTAGAATTAGATAATTACTTTTAAGAACAAAGTCATGAACTCTCCTAAACTTTTCAAATTCCTTTGAATGTGAAACCCTGTATGTGTTTTGTGTATACATTTGTTGAGGGACATGTAGATGTTGGTTTTACGTTTGACCTTGTATCCTTCTAAATTCATTTCATTTAATAAAAAAAAAACATAATAAAAAGGCACCAGTACCCTCCATCGGGGCTCAGCTTGATCTCTCCCTTCCGGCGGGCCGATGCTCGCACCACGCCCACAGTCCAGGCGGTCTTGCGGCCCACCTCGACCTCCCAGTAATGGCGTCCCGAGGAGAGGCACTCGCAGGCGAGCACGAAGAGGGCGGGGTTGAAGCGGCGAGTGTCTTCTGACTGGTTGTGCTTTCGTTCCTCGTACATCACCTGGCGACCGTCCTCGGACAGGACCAGGTTCCTCTGGGCCGTTCCCGGATCCAGGAACACCTCACCTGGAGGGGAGGAGCAGAGAGAGAGAGAAGAGTGTTCAGAACAGTGCTGGTTCCATTGAGAACAGCATTGATTCTAATGAGAACAGGATACGTCTTATTTAGAAGAGTGTCGGTTCTATTGTAACCAGTCTGAGTTCATTTTAAAGCTATGTAAATCACCCTAGAGTAAACAACATATCACTTTCTTTCAACTAATACTATATGGTTTTGTATCCTTCCTAACTGTGATGATGACCCAGTGCTGCCACCATGTGGTGCAGAGTAGACAGAGCAGAAAAACTGAGGATCAACAAAGCCTCTGCTTTGTTATTGTCCTCTAAGGTTGACTAAAACACAAAGTTGTTTCCAAGAGGAGTATTTATATCCCAATCATCAAACTTGCAAGTCAAATTCCCACCACTCTTTAAAAAGAGAAAAAGGGAACTCTAACTGTACTCACTTGCATAGTTCTGCAGCTTCCTTAGCTCTGTAGAGGAGAGAGAGACACACAGTCAGAGACAGAGAGAGGGAGTCAAAGTCAGTCAAAGACAGAGAGAGAGAGAGAGAGAGAGAGACAGTTAGTCAGAGAGGGAGTCAGAGAGTCAAAGACAGCAGACACGTGTTGGGATTGGAGGCAAACAGACAGTGCTAATCCCACCGCCTCTGGGGGTATCAGTCTGACAGCCTGTTGTTGCCATCTCATTACTGACAGATGGCTGAACTTTGGCCTCTTCTGTACTTCACTATGTATCCCATCTGATGACTCACTCTCTATATAGAGGTGCCAGTCCAATGACCTAGATACCTCTGCTTGAGTCGCACCTAGACATTGATCTAAAGTCAGTTTTGTGTTTTTTTTGCTCTATAGTTGAGGTAAGGATTTGGAGAAAGGAAGCTGATCCTAGATCAGTGCTTATGGCTACGGGTAACTTGTACCTGGAGAGATGGGATTTGGACACAGGAAGTGAGGTCACACAACAGGAAGCAAGTGACTATGTTTGTCTTTGGAATTACACCTTTGTACTGCATATTGCTCCACTTTTTAATAGCGCCTTATGCTGTAGATAGTGCACTGCTGTACATGGCAAACAAGGTAAGATTTTCTCTATGTAATAATGGCAGATTTTGCCCCAGATTTTGCCCACCTTTTCCATACAGCCTCTTGAGTTCTTCCTGGAACTTGTCGACGAGGGTGCTGACGGATGATTGGATGGTACCCAGGTACAGGTCAGTGTTCACACTCACTCCTGACCAATCAATGGGCTCCGGGAGGGGTGCCAGGGCGGGCAGGCTCTGCAGGGGAGGACGAGGAGGGGTTTAAGAGAGTGTGTGTCTCTCTCTCTCTGTGTGTTTATGTGTGTGTGTGTGTGTGTGTGTGTGTGTATCCCCTCGTTGTGTGGTAGCCTACCTGGAGGAAGATGACTTTGTCCTGGTTCTGTGCCAGGGCTTCCAACTCTTCGCTCCTCTTCCTGAGATGGCTCAGGTCACTCTCCAGACCTCGGGCCAGCTCCTGGGCATGCCTCTCAGCCTCGCGCTGCCTCGTAGCGATCAGCTCCACCAGCTCAGCCTGGCTCTGCTCCACTAGACACTGAAGTTCCGCGTACACCTGCCAGCTCTCCTCCAACTCCTTCTGAGCACTGCTCTAAAGACGTGGACATAGTAGAGGTTATAGCTAGACATACTGAGAGGTTATAGTGGCATATAATCTCTCGTAGACAGATCACGTCAACATAAATGGTACCATTGATTTGTCATGATACAACGGGATGCGTGAGATAATGAGCCGCATTAGTTCCGGTGCATTGGACAAATCAAGATTCCGCAGATGTTAGCATCTTTCGAATTTCGGAAGGGGATGGGACATTCTTGCAAAGAGAGAGGGAAGAGCTCTTCATTCTGGTTCCGATCCTCGCTCTATGTCTTCTTAATCGAGCATCTGACCAATTACGCAAGACTTTAGTTCTGGGTTAACCGAGATGAAGTGGCGTACAGAGACACACAGCTACACCTGCCAGCACTCCTCTAGCTCCTTCTGAGAACTGCTCTAAAGACACATAGAGATGGCAGAAGAGGTTATAGGGACACAGAGACATACTGCAGAGACACACAGCTACACCTGCCAGCTCTCCTCCAGTTCCTTCTGAGCACTGCTTAACAGTCAGAGATGGAATAGGTTATAGAGACATACTGCACATAAAGTAGCATACTGCAGCGTCAATATCTATGTACAGCTACAGCTGGCAGCTCTCCCCCAACTCCCTCTGGGCCCTGCTCTTAAAATGGGGAGATATGGGAGAGAGGTTGTGGAGTTAAAACACACACCAGCTTGAGGTATGTGTTTGAGTGATGTAAAGTGCATGCAGCACAACTGGCCTAACCGGTCCGACTGTCCTATCGTTCAGCCCACAGGCAAATATCTACCTGCTTGAGTTGAAGGAAACAGTACGTGTTTTGTTATGTTTCCTTTCCATCTCACACGTCACAAGTTCATGTGATAAAATATGAAAAGAGTATAATATTGCCTAGTTGTAGACATTTGAGGACATGAGGATATTGAAAGATTATGAGAGCATTGGAAATCAAAACCTATGAAAAAACTCTCTCCCTCTCTGTCTCCCTCTCTCCCTCTCTCTCTCTCCCTTTCTCTAAGTCAGAAAGTCACCCACCAAGATATCCACTCCCTCTGTAACCTCATCCTCATTGTATTTTTAAACACGGCTCAAGCGGACCACAGTCCCACAGGCAAATATCTACCTGCTTGAGTTGAAGGAAACAGTACGTGTTTTGTTATGTTTCCTTTCCATCTCACACGTCACAAGTTCATGTGATAAAATATGAAAAGAGTATAATATTGCCTAGTTGTAGACATTTGAGGACATGAGGATATTGAAAGATTATGATAGCATTGGAAATCAAAACCTATGAAAAAACTCTCTCCCTCTCTGTCTCCCTCTCTCCCTTTCTCTAAGTCAGAAAGTCACCCACCAAGATATCCACTCCCTCTGTAACCTCATCCTCATTGTATTTTTAAACACGGCTCAAGCGGACCACAGTCCCACAGGCAAATATCTACCTGCTTGAGTTGAAGGAAACAGTACGTGTTTTGTTATGTTTCCTTTCCATCTCACACGTCACAAGTTCATGTGATAAAATATGAAAAGAGTATAATATTGCCTAGTTGTAGACATTTGAGGACATGAGGATATTGAAAGATTATGAGAGCATTGGAAATCAAAACCTATGAAAAAACTCTCTCCCTCTCTGTCTCCCTCTCTCCCTCTCTCTCTCTCCCTTTCTCTAAGTCAGAAAGTCACCCACCAAGATATCCACTCCCTCTGTAACCTCATCCTCATTGTATTTTTAAACACGGCTCAAGCGGACCACAGTCCCACAGGCAAATATCTACCTGCTTGAGTTGAAGGAAACAGTACGTGTTTTGTTATGTTTCCTTTCTATCTCACACGTCACATGTTCATGTGATAAAATATGAAAAGAGTATAATATTGCCTAGTTGTAGACATTTGAGGACATGAGGATATTGAAAGATTATGAGAGCATTGGAAATCAAAACCTATGAAAAAACTCTCTCCCTCTCTGTCTCCCTCTCTCCCTCTCTCTCTCTCCCTTTCTCTAAGTCAGAAAGTCACCCACCAAGATATCCACTCCCTCTGTAACCTCATCCTCATTGTATTTTTAAACACGGCTCAAGCGGACCACAGTCCCACAGGCAAATATCTACCTGCTTGAGTTGAAGGAAACAGTACATGTTTTGTTATGTTTCCTTTCTATCTCACACGTCACATGTTCATGTGATAAAATATGAAAAGAGTATAATATTGCCTAGTTGTAGACATTTGAGGACATGAGGATATTGAAAGATTATGAGAGCATTGGAAATCAAAACCTATGAAAAAAACTCTCTCCCTTTCTGTCTCCCTCTCTCCCTCTCTCTCTCTCCCTTTCTCTAAGTCAGAAAGTCACCCACCAAGATATCCACTCCCTCTGTAACCTCATCCTCATTGTATTTTTAAACACGGCTCAAGCGGACCACAGTCGCACTGCGCTCTATTTACAGTCAATATCTGACCAGGGAACTTGTTGACCAGTGTAGCTGTGAACCTAGGCTGACTTGGTAAATAACCAGGACTGCTTATGAATTTCAAAGTGGTTACATTCCTACAGCCCTATCTCTCAGCTGTTTACCTAAACAAGTGGTGGGGTGGCCATTTTGTTTTGTTTATATCCCGGATTGTCTCACACAGTAATTCTATCATACTAACATCTTTAATCTGCAAAGGGAGTTTCCAGGAGGTTGTAGGTAAGGATAAAAGGGTAAAAACAGGGTGTGGGAACACAGGTAAATGTTTGCACTGGCCACACCGGTTAGTCTGCCTAGGCCTAGGGGGTGGACTAGAGCCATTACAAATATGGGAGAAAAACAACCAAAGAATGATTTCTATGGCAAACTACTGTAGGGACACTGTGTTATATGGGGACACTGTATTGTATGGGACACTATGGAGTGATGGGACTATGTAACTTATTCATCCATATGTTCGATCAACATCAATATTTATTTTACAGAAGTAAAAAACAAAAAGCCAGGGTCAAGAGGCAGTATGACAATCAACCATAGCCTACTGTAAAACAGAGGTCAGCAACAGTGTGATACATGTTTTATTTTAATGTTTTTAGTTTTAGGTGAAAAAACGACAAAAAATCTGCAGGAAATCCGCATTTTTCATTTATTTTTTTGGGAAATCTGTTCCCAAGTATTCCCACTGATAAAAAAAAGAAAGACGTGATAATATACAGTGGGGAGAACAAGTATTTGATACAGTGCCGATTTTGCAGGTTTTCCTACTTACAAAGCATGTAGAGGTCTGTAATTTTTATCATAGGTACACTTCAACTGTGAGAGACGGAATCTAAAACAAAAATCCAGAAAATCACATTGTATGATTTTTAAGTAATTAATTTGCATTTTATTGCATGACATAAGTATTTGATACATCAGAAAAGCAGAACTTAATATTTGGTACAGAAACCTTTGTTTGCAATTACAGAGATCATACGTTTCCTGTAAGTCTTGACCAGGTTTGCACACACTGCAGCAGGGATTTTGGCCCACTCCTCCATACAAACCTTCTCCAGATCCTTCAGGTTTCAGGGCTGTCGCTGGGCAACACGGACTTTCAGCTCCCTCCAAAGATTTTCTATTGGGTTCAGGTCTGGAGACTGGCTAGGCCACTCCAGGACCTTGAGATGCTTCTTACGGAGCCACTCCTTAGTTGCCCTGGCTGTGTGTTTCGGGTTGTTATGCTGGAAGACCCAGCCACGACCCATCTTCAATGCTCTTACTGAGGGAAGGAGGTTGTTGGCCAAGATCTCGCGATACATGGCCCCATCCATCCTCCCCTCAATACGGTGCAGTCGTCCTGTCCCCTTTGCAGAAAAGCATCCCCAAAGAATGAATTTTCCACCTCCATGCTTCACGGTTGGGATGGTGTTCTTGGGGTTGTACTCATCCTTCTTCTTCCTCCAAACACGGCGAGTGGAGTTTAGACCAAAAAGCTCTATTTTTGTCTCATCAGACCACATGACCTTCTCCCATTCCTCCTCTGGATCATCCAGATGGTCATTGGCAAACTTCAGACGGGCCTGGACATGCGCTGGCTTGAGCAGGGGGACCTTGCGTGCGCTGCAGGAGTTTAATCCATGACGGCATAGTGTGTTACTAATGGTTTTCATTGAGACTGTGGTCCCAGCTCTCTTCAGGTCATTGACCAGGTCCTGCCGTGTAGTTATGGGCCGATCCCTCACCTTCCTCATGATCATTGATGCCCCACGAGGTGAGATCTTGCATGGAGACCCCAGACCGAGGTTGATTGACCGTCATCTTGAACTTCTTCCATTTTCAAATAATTGCGCCAACAGTTGTTGCCTTCTCACCAAACTGCTTGCCTATTGTCCTGTAGCCCATCCCAGCCTTGTGCAGGTCTACAATTTTATCCCTGATGTCGTTACACAGCTCTCTGGTCTTGGCCATTGTGGAGAGGTTGGAGTCTGTTTTGATTGAGTGTGTGGACAGGTGTCTTTTATACAGGTAACAAGTTCAAACAGGTGCAGTTAATACAGGTAATGAGTGGAGAACAGGAGGGCTTCTTAAAGAAAAACTAACAGGTCTGTGAGAGCCGGAATTCTTACTGGTTGGTAGGTGATCAAATACTTATGTCATGCAATAAAATGCAAATTAATTACTTAAAAATCATACAATGTGATTTTCTGGATTTTTGTTTTAGATTCCGTCTCTCACAGTTGAAGTGTACCTATGATAAATTACAGACCTCTACATGCTTTGTAAGTAGGAAAACCTGCAAAATCGGCACTGTATCAAATACTTGTTCTCCCCACTGTAATCAAGGTATGCAATTATTGTTATTTTCAAATTCAATCTCTTTTTGGGCTTAGTTGTGGTAAATTTGCAGTGTACAAATTATTATAATTATGTTTTGGCCACCGACCATTCGCTCTGACAAAAATCGGCCTGCGGCTGAATCTAGAGGCCTGCCCCTGCTGTACAATGTACTATTGTTGTTTTGCTATGCTTTGCCCTAATGAACACAACCCAGCTCACACTCACTTAACCAAACAACACAAAATACAAAGTTGACGCATTTTGATGACAACACCATTTATACAAGGGACTCACTTTGATGACCCGTATGGACTGTTTGATCTCCTCCAGCTTCTTGGCCCGCTCCTTGATCAGGTGTTTCAGCTCCGACCTCCTCTTGCCCAAATAATTCTGTGTGAGGGCAGGGTTCATATTCATAAAGCATCTCATGGTAGCTAATCTGGGGTCAGTTTTGTCTATTAAATCATAAGATTGCATCGACCCTAGATCAGCACCCAGATCCAAGAGATACTGTTTAATACTCTACATTATACACATAAGGCAGGTTTACTGGACTTAATTTCCCAATTTTTACCAAAAAAAGATTCACATGTAAAGATGTAAGCTGGTATGGAGTAGTCTATGGGCTATAAACAGTTGTATAATTAAGCAATAAGGCACGAGGGGGGTTGGTATATGGCCAATATACCATGGCTAAGGGCTGTTCTTAAGCACGACGCAACGCAGAGTGCCTGGATACAGCTCTTAGCAGTGGTATATTGGCCATATACCACAAATCCCGAGGTGCCTTATTGCTATTATAAACTGGTTACCAATGTAATTAGAGCAGTAAAAATAAATGTTTTGTCATACCCATGGTATACGGTCTGATATACCACGGCTGTCAGCCAATCAGCATTCAGGGCTTGAACGTCCCAGTTTATAATATAACTTTTACTTTGGGCATTACTCTATCAATGCAATTTTGACCCACGATGGTCTCCAGAGCACCATAAGACTGCGAGAGAAACAATCTCATCAGCTAAAATGTAAGCCCGCTGAGCTAAAGCCTGCCTTTCTATCTGCCTACTGTCCCCATCCGCCCTACCACCCTGTTCTCCCCTGGACTCACCATCTTTTTCTTCCACTCGCGGTCGACAGAGACGATCTCGTGAGTCTTGTGGGTGGCCTCGGCACAGGTGATACAGACACAGCCGTGGTCGTTGCGGCAGTAGACCTCCAGCAGGCGCTCATGCTTCTTACAGATCTTCTCCTCCAGGTGATGCACAGGCTCCACGAGGCGGTGAGACATCAGAGACTTCACCTTCCTGTGTTTAGGTTAAGTTTAGGTTAGGTGTGCTGGCGGTACCAAAGGAATCATGTGCTTTTCTGGGCATAGTCATGTAGTCCTTGGTATTCCAAACAAAGAAAGGTGACTCCCATAAATTACTGCTGCAAGGTTTTTTTATCACCTTTCCTTTTTTGGAATTCCAAGGACTCCAGAGGTAAGAAACACAACACGGGATGTTTATCTAAACCTCACAGTTAGATTTACATAAAACGTGAAAGGAAAGAGAAGAAGTAAAAGATTTGTGTAATTTCTCACTTATGATGTCGGAGATGCGCCTCACAGAATGACCCAGGACAGTTGAGACACGACTTCAGGGCCCTCATCTTCCTCCCGATGCACGCATCGCACGGCACCTCGCCTGCCCGGGCAAACTCTCCACCCTCCGCCGCAGCTGCTGGTGACTCTCCGTGAACCCTGTGACCCGCCACCGGACTCCCAGCCACCGCACCCCCCTTTGTGTTCGGTGAAACCACACCTATTTCGAGGCCCTGGAAGTGGGCAGCGATTTCGGCTAGTACCCGGTTGATGCTAAGTTCCGGCCTCCGGCTATAGCTCTTCTTACACATGGGGCACAGGAACTTCTTGCTGTGGTCCCAGTAGCCCTGAGGAGAAAGAGCAGCAGAAGAAGAAGGTTATTGATCTATTTTCCTTACAGTCCATGAAACAAACACATCCACCCACGAGGGGTTGGAATCACAGCATCAGTTTTAGCCATCCCTCAGAGCCGGGTTCCTCTCTAGAGCTCTAGTTTTTCCTAGCCACTCAACTTTTGCTTCTGCTTTTCCTGCTCTTTGGGGTCTAGACCAGGTAACTGCAAAGTACTTTGTGACAATTGCTGATGTAAAATGGGCTTTATAAAGTAAATGTGATACCTGCAGACAGGCCTTGCAGAAGCTGTGTCCGCAGGGGGTAGAGACGGGCTCCACGAATACCTCCAGGCAGATAGAACACTGGAACGACTCCTCCGACAGGGTGCCCCCCCTCCCTGGCGAACTCACACCTGACGGGGGGAGAGGGAGAGATAGAGCGAGAGAGAGAGAGAGAGAGCGAGAGTGTGGGTGAGACAGAGACGGCGTGTGTGGGTGAGTGAGTGAGTGTGTAAGAGAGACAGAGAGAGAGAAAGAGAGAAAGAGAGAAAGAGAGAGAGAGGCGCGAGAGAGAGAGAGAGTGATAATGGCTGGTTAACAAAAAAGCCAGGAAATTCAAAAGAGCTCTACAGCTGTAACTTCATCCATGCACCACCTCTGATTTTAAACACAAATACAAACACCAAGACAAGGCTCGCTCACTCCCATCAGGAAACGGGTTGTGAAAGAGATTGATTCATACGCTTCAGCTGTAAACCATCCCTGGAATGTAGAAATGCAGGCTGTACCTCTACCATGCACCAGCTCGAGGTTTAAAGAACAACAAATCATCCTGGATGGTACCACACATTTTGGCTGTGTCTCAAATGGCACCGTATTGCCTATTTAGCGCACTCTGGTCAAAGGTAGTCAGTGCAATGTGCCTACATAAACTGAAATGACACCAGCCATGTTTCGATAAATGCCTTTTCAGCTTCAAATAACGATACTCTTTTAGCAAAACTTCAGCTCTTCAAATACAGTAAGTTTGAAGTTGGCAGAATCACCAATGTCAATTATCATCAAATAACCACAAAAAATACATTAATAATTCACATTGACTTTCAAACACAATGTGGGACCTTGATCATTTCTTTTGTACGTTATGTTCCATACTACATCAATATTTATTTAAACAGACTGATGAAAACAATTCAACCATATGCTGTGAAAAAACTCCCATGTCCCAAAAAGTTTACAATCATTATTGGTAACCAATTCGAGGATAACCTATGAGATTGCGATTATATAACAGGTCTATGAAAGGGATCAAAGGTCATTACAAATAAAGGTATATAACTTACTCTGCATGCTGATTAAGTTCTCCTGATTCTCTTGTATGAGTCCACACAGTGCCGTGTATCTGTACAGTCCTCTGGGTACTGGAGCCCCACACCACTGTATTGTATTATACAGGCCGTCTGTCTATGCAAATCCACAACAGGTTTTGGCCCTGTGAAAACTAACTCACTACAGTGCCCCACCCGCTCTCTCTCAACATCACATGCCCTGCAGTATCTCTCTATCCTCCTCTTCCTTTGTTCTGAGTAGTACGCACTCTGTGGGTGTGTCCAAACTTCACCTGGGCCTGTATTTACAAAGCAGGAGTGCTGATCTAGGATCAGGCCCCTTTGTCCACATAATCAGATTCATTATGGTTCAAATGCAAAGCTGATGCTAGATCAGCAATCCTACTCAGATGCTTTATGACTACAGTACGTTGTAGAAAATGAGTGCCTCCCTCGTCTCCACCCTTTCTCACACCCTCCTCTCCCCAATAGCCAGACATCACAATGGGCATGTTTGACATAGCAACCGACTTTAAAGGCGAGTCGAGACTGACTGATCTATAAATCACCTTCCATCATAAATAACTACTCAATATTATTTGTAGATCAGTCTGTCACAATTTACCCAAGATACATCACGGTTTTGATGCTTTCGAACATGGCCAAGCACTTCAGAATTAATTGGTATATACAGCCTGAAACTAATGGCTGCAAAATCGTGTAAATGTTCATTGCAAGCCAGAATGTTGAATAAAATTAAATTTAAACTTACTCTACTGGTTGTCTGTGCAGGTAGGTTTTTCCTTCAGCTGCTTGAAATTTGATACAAAATATCCACAGGAAAGTATTGTTTACCCGACTTTTTAGAGCCTGTAGATATATGGTTCAATAGGTATATGGTTCAATTCAGCACTGAGGTAAAGTTAGTTTTATATTGGATACTTGGTTTTCTCTCGTCAATAGCTATTGAACCAAGCATGCCATGGCAATGAAAATGATGTATTCTGAATCAGGGAAGAATGGAGAACAATCCACCCTTTTTTAAAACAAGGGACCTCTGGCTTTCTCATACAATGGTTTTTTAGACGGAGACGAGGAGAGAGGATAGAGGACGCAATGAGTATGCAAATAAGACTCTCCCTTTTAATCTGTTCAGGTTGCTCATTTAGAGAGAGGCGGGTGTGACATGTTGACCCAGGGCTCTTAACTCAGCTGTGAGGAAATATTGACAATTTGTCTTGAAAAGTAGGCAAGGAGAGCGGACACAATTTAATCAAGTAAATACAATTGAAAATCACCCTAAAAACTCTTGGAGGTTGTGCCCAAACTTCATCTGGTAGGGTACACGCCTTCCTCACAAATACCATGACATTACAAGTACACTAGATGGAGCTATACACAGACACATCCATGCTCCTAATTCCTTTCAATGGAGTGCATTGTTGTTTTGTATTAAGTACTATGAGAAATAAAGAAAAGAGGACAGTTTTAGATATAGTCAATTTTTATCAAATAACATGTGAGTAAAGATATACATTTCATTATATGAAGTCATAGAAACTAGAAAATGCTCTAGCAAAGATATAAATCCTCTGAATTAACCTTGGAGTTCTTACACACACACACAAACACACAAACACACACAAACACACAAACACATATATATATATATATATATATATATATATATATATATATATATATATATATATACATTACATGACAAAAGTATGTGGACACCAGCTCGTCGAACATCTCATTCCAAAATCATGAACATTAATATGGAGTTGGTCCCCTCTTTGCTGCTATAACAGCCTCCACTCTTCTGGGAATGCTTTCCACTAGTTGTTGGAACATTGCTGCAGGGACTTGCTTCCATTCAGACACAAGAGCATTGGTGAGGTCGGGCACTGATGTTGGGAGATTAGGCCTGGCTCGCAGTCGGCGTTCCAATTCATCCCAAATGTGTTCGATAGGGTTGAGGTCAGGGCTCTGTGCAGGCCAATCAAGTTCTTCCACACCGATCTCGGCAAACCATTTCTGTATGGACCTCGCTTTGTGCACAGGGGCATTTGTCATGTTGAAACAAGGAAAGGGCCTTCCCCAAACTGTTGGCACAAAGTTGGAAGCACATAATCGTCTAGAATGTAATTGTATGCTGTAGCGTTAAGATTTCCCTTCCCTGGAACTAAGGGGCCTAGCCCGAACCATAAAAAACAGCACCAGACCATTATTCCTCCTCCACCAAACAATTGGCACTATGCATTGGAGTAGGTAATGTTCTCCTGCCATCAGACAAACCCAGATCCGTCCGTCAGACTGCCAGAGAACGCGATTCCACTGCTCCAGAGTCCAATGGCGGCAAGCTTTACACCACTCCAGCTGACGCTTGGCATTGCACATGGTGATCTTTTGTGCAGCTGCTAGGCCATTTCATGAAGCTCCCGACTAACAATCCTTGTGCTGACGTTGCTTCCAGAGGCAGTTTGGAACTCGGTAGTGTGTGTTGCAACCAAGGACAGACGATTTTTAAGCGCTACCCGCTTCAGCACTCGGCGGTCCCGTTACATGAGCTTGTGTGGCCTACCACTTTGCGGCTGAGCCGATGTTGCTCCTAGAGTTTCCACTTCACAATAACAGCACTTACAGTTAACCGGGGCAGCTCTATAATTTTTTTAATTTTTTTTATTTTATTTTTATTTCACCTTTATTTAACCAGGTAAGCCAGTTGAGAACAGGTTCTCATTTACAACTGCGACCTGGCCAAGATAAAGCAAAGTAGTGCAATAAAAACAACACAGAGTTACATATGGGGTAAAAAACATAAAGTCAGAAATACAACAGAAAATATATATACAGTGTGTGCAAATGTAGCAAGTTATGGAGGTAAGGCAGTAAATAGGCTATAGTGCAGAATAATTACAATAGTATTAACACTGGAATGCTAGATGTGCAAGAGATTATGTGCAAATAGAGATACTGGGGTGCAAAAGAGCAAAATAAATAACAATATAGGGATGAGGTAGTTGGGTGGGCTAATTTCAGATGGGCTGTGTACAGGTGCAGTGATCGGTAAGGTGCTCTGACAACTGATGCTTAAAGTTATTGAGGGAGATAAGAGTCTCCAGCTTCAGAGATTTTTGCAATTCGTTCCAGTCATTGGCAGCAGAGAACTGGAAGGAATGGCGGCCAAAGGAGGTGTTGGCTTTGGGAATGACCAGTGAGATATACCTGCTGGAGCGCAGACTACGGGTGGGTGCTGCTATGGTGACCAATGAGCTAAGATAAGGCGGGGATTTGCCTAGCAGTGATTTATAGATGGCCTGGAGCCAGTGGGTTTGACGACGAACATGTAGTGAGGACCAGCCAACAAGAGCGTACAGGTCACAGTGGTGGGTAGTGTATGGGGCTTTGGAGACAAAACGGATGGCACTGTGATAGACTACATCCAATTTGCTGAGTAGAGTGTTGGAGGCTATTTTGTAAATGACATCGCCGAAGTCAAGGATCGGTAGGATAGTCAGTTTTACGAGGGCATGTTTGGCAGCATGAGTGAAGGAGGCTTTGTTGCGAAATAGGAAGCCGATTCTAGATTTAACTTTGGATTGGAGATTCTTTATGTGAGTCTGGAAGTTGAGTTTACAGTCTAACCAGACACCTAGGTATTTGTAGTTGTCCACATACTCTAGGTCAGACCCGTCGAGAGTGGTGATTCTAGTCGGGTGGGCGGGTGCCAGCAGCGTTCGATTGAAAAGCATGCATTTAGTTTTACTAGTGTTTAAGAGCAGTTGGAGGCTACTGAAGGATTGTTGTATGGCATTGAAGCTCGTTTGGAGGTTTGTTAACACAGTGTCCAATGAAGGGCCAGATGTATACAAAATGGTGTCGTCTGCGTAGAGGTGGATCTGAGAGTCACCAGCAGCAAGAGCGACATCATTGATATACACAGAGAAAAGTGTCGGCCCAAGAATTGAACCCTGTGGCACCCCCATAGAGACTGCCATAGGTCCAGACAACAGGCCCTCCGATTTGACACACTGAACTCTATCTGAGAAGTAGTTGGTGAACCAGGCGAGGCAGTCATTTGAGAAACTAAGGCTATTTAGTCTGCCAATAAGAATGCGGTGGTTGACAGAGTCGAAAGCCTTGGCCAGGTCGATGAAGACGGCTGCACAGTACTGTCTATTATCAATCGCGGTTATAATATCGTTTAGGACCTTGAGCGTGGCTGAAGTGCACCCGTGACCAGCTCGGAAACCGGATTGCATAGCGGAGAAGGTACGGTGGTATTCGAAATGGTCGATGATCTGTTTGTTAACTTGGCTTTCGAATACTTTCGAAGGGCAGGATGGATATAGGTCTGTAGCAGTTTGGATCTAG